CCGCGTCCGGCGTCGGCTGTGGCTCAGCCGGACCGGGTTCGATCCTCGACCATCGGGCGGCATTTTTCTCCGGGCAAGTCACGGTGTCCGGAGAACAAGTGCCACCATCCCCCCTCCGGGGCATCGTTCAACGAACGAAATGAACGAATCATATGAACGGGTCTTTTCAATGACCCTATCCAAACGAACCGAATCGTTCATTTGACCCGTAATTCCCATCTTTAATGCAAATGGAGTTATGAAATACTACCGTACAGTACGACTGTAACGGATTCCAACGGCTTCGTCGGAGTCGTGAAAAACCCGCTCGTAAATTGTGATTGCAAACAAGGAATGATGGCGTCAGGAGAGTAGGAGACCGCCTCCGATGCCGCTATCACGTCACGACCCGCCACAGGAACTGTAAAGACATACAGTGTTGCCAAGATTAAGCGTAGTCGCAAATGGTGTTTGTATGTTTACGCGCCATTGTTTGAATTTAAAACATTGAATACTGTTTTTTTTTTTTAAATTGAATTGCACTTTATCCCAACCCACACACTCGGACACACTAATTCAAACGTTTTTTACGTTTACCTATGAGAATATACATTTTATGAAATATCATAAACASAACACTATTAAATAGCTCCGTATTCCGTAAGGTCGAAATTGCTCCTGGGTTAGAAAAAAAAATTATGGTTAAACTGCATTCGAGTTCAAAAAGTTTCGGCTTAGGACTTACAATGATTTTAATCATTGCCGTAGTTAAAAATTAATTTTTGTGTRTTTAAAATTTTAATATAATTTAAAATATATTTTATAATATAAATGTGTCATCATTTATTAATAATAATTAATTTATAAAAAACAATTTTAATTAATAATATATTATACTTATAACATAATATTGTATAAAGGGATATTTTACAAACATATAAATTAACTTTATTACTAAAGATTTTTGTTCAACACTCTTTTTCGAACCCGAGTGCAGTTCAATTATAGGTAAATAGCGCAACTCCAATATCCTGTTGTAAATTTTACTCGCTTTCCTTAATGGTATTATAATATTATAATCCATTGGGTTAAGAAGATTTATTGAAGTACCCGCTTTCTCGATTCGATGCTATTGTTTGACTGACACGTTTTTTATWATTTAATAGTTAATAGTTCATTACATTCTAGGACGACTAATCAAATGTAATTTATGGAAAAATTCAGACAATAAGTAATTGCAGTATGTTTCGTAAAGATAAATTCGTTATACCTAACCTTAATCAATGATATTTAATCCAGAAATAWTGTTATAAAATTTAAAAATAATCGTAACATTCGTAACATGATTATATTATTGACAATTGAAATTAAAACCGTCGTTAATTATTAATTATAAGTTATAATTTTATAATAATATCAATGTAAAAGAAAATCACCCATTACCGACAAATAATAATCCCAACACTCACTTTCCTCCTAAAACATATACCCAAGCTAMATATAATGAAACAATACTAATACAGGTCACAGCAATCATCCTTCTTCAACGTTAGACATTAACAAAACAATATCAGATTTTTTTGACAACTTTAAATCATTAATTAATCCCTTAATTGCCTTCTTAACACAAGTTATTTCATCACTTTTAAATAATAAAAATGATAAATAACTCATCCACAAAAACGTCTCTAATCATTCTCCTTTTTAATACAAACAGCTTAAAAAACCACTTCAACGAAATGCAAACTGTTTTATACGAAAAGCCTATCGATATTGCGTTAATAACCGAGACACATTTCACCAAATATTTCCAGGTACATATTCCAGGTTATATTACATACAAGTCAAATTACGAGTATCCAGACAACACGGCTCATGGTGGTGTTGCTATCATCATAAAATCTACCCTGTCTTTCTCACCACTACCAAAGTTTACCCGTGATTATACCTACAATCTTGTGCTGTCACAATTAAGCTAAATAACATACCGATCACTATTGCCTCAATCTATTGTGCTCCGARACACAACATCTCAACTCCTCAGTTTAATGA